GATGTTCAGAGAAAGTCCTTGTACCAAAGAAGATACACGAAGACGGTATTTCTATGATTCTTTCTTTTCCCATGGCACCCTCAGGCCTATACCTTGTAAAGCCACCCCAAATGACAGTGCAGTCCTGGAGGCCGTGTGGCATGGGAAGCTGGTGTGAAGGGACGGTGCTGTGCAGGGTGACAGTATAGACAGATGGTTATGTAAAGGGTTTTCAGAGCACATAGTTGCAATATAAGCACATAGCTCTGACAGATACAGTGACAGCACCCACATTCCAGTAGGGTATCGAAGGATAAGCAGTTATCATGGGAGCATTCCCAAGCTTCCCCAGGGTTATACCACAGCTTAGATAGCCTTGTACCTGGATACAGTATCAGAGGTCAGGCAGTTTTACTGCGCAGTTAGGTATAATATCTCCATAATAAGAACAACTGATATTTACTGAAGTCTGACTACAGCATGAATATATACGGGGCTTCCATTAATATGTAACTCAAAGGAATTTTGCAAGGCTGGGATTTGTGTATATTTTCATTGATGTGGAGCATACAACAAACCTCTATGTTAAATAGCTATTCAATGCCAGAATTAAAACTGAAATAGAGTTTTTATCAAATAGAGTCTAACCCTCTTTCCATAGTTATATGAGAGACTGGAATGAATGCTAGAAAATTAGAGGACAGCCTGTAGGAAACTGGCCACCAGCCATACAGACGATGGGAGGCAGAGTTCAAGGTTCATGGCAGGCCATTCATTTAGAGGATCCAAATTTAAAGGCCAGAACTAAAGTATTCTCCAGAAAATTAATCATTAGTTAAACAACATTAGAAATCATTTTTTAAAAGGGCAGAAAAACAACATACAATGCAAACCATGATTAATTCTGACAAAATACCTTCTGATAATACTTTGCATTTCTAGTTGGTATGCATACCTTTCATAAACATAAATCATTTCCTTGTTCTTTTTTTTAAATCCTATTTCAATTCTTCTACTTTTAAAAAAGTAGAAGCAATGCTAAACACTTTGAGTAAGTTTCAAGAATATTCTAAGCATTTAAACTGCTACCCTAATAGTGCATGGAGCTCTGACAGTCAATGGATATAAAATAACTAAGGCTTGGCTTCAGTAAGTGAAGATGCTAACAAGTAACTGTAGTCTGATAAGAGAAGTAGATACTGAAGATCCAGGCATGGAAAAGGGCTGGCTGAAGATGAGGCTGAAGTCGGGCCTACTTATGCATGCTGCAGAATTACAGTGATTTCCAGTGGAGACCCCTAAAATAGATTTGTTTTCAAATGCAGATTAAAAGGGGTATAATTAAGTGCCAGAGAGGTCTAGAGGAAGGTTGTGTAGTTGGGGATGCTGGAATACTGTTCAGGTCAAACATTTATTAAATATTAACACTGTGCCAGATCAAACAGACAAAAGCAAGTCTAACAAGGTCTTGGTTTTCCTTCAGGAGCTCAGACTAGGAGGTACAAGATGCAAATAAGTATTCAGTAGTGGCGGTGAAGGTTAGAAATAGAATCAGAATAATGCTACAGAGATGAACAGAAGGGCAGATGCCACTGATACTCCAGGAATAGAGAAGTGGGACTTGGTAACTGATCAAATTCAGGGCCTGTGGGCATGACAGGAACCAAAGATACTGCCTAGGTTTCTAGCTTTGACTTGCTATTTATCAGATTACGAAATACAAGATCAAGGAGTTCACTTGCTACTCTCAATCATTTCTTCTACAGACATCATAATGAGATTAATAAAGTCTCAGCAGGACAGGGGTCATAAATCCAATCACCATCATCATCTACTATGTATTCATTTGGAGAAAACAACCTCAGACTCTCACTGAACTTGAAGTTCATAGTTTTTGCTAGATAGACTGGCCAAAGAGCACCTGGGACTCCTGTTCCACCCCACAAAGCTTGGGTTACAGGCACAAGGGGCCACATTTGGCTATTATGTGGGTAGTACGACTTGAACTCAGGTTCTCAGGGTTTCCTAGCAAGTGCTCTTAATGACTAAGACATTTACCCAAACCCTAATTATTATTATTAGTTTTTTAATTTTAGGAAACAATAGTTTCTGTTCAAATGAATGACGAACAGGGATGTTCAAGCCTTGGCCTGACCCTGTCATTTAATTTCCTCTCCATATGAATCTCAGCACACATCCGTAGCTCTCAGCTCAGTTCCTGGCCCACAGCACAGCATCCAGAGTTTGTCCTTATACCCAAGGGGTAACTTGTATACTGGAGAATCGGTAAGGAGGGTAATTGCACACTTGGTGTAATTCCTTTTTGTATCTGTGTTGCCAACAAAATTGCCTTTTTGGTTTTTCTCAGAAAGTGAAACAATTTTTTTGAGAGCCAACCAATCAATGCAGGGATTCTGGGAGGACCAAGAAAATGCAGACAGCAGTGGTCTCAGCAAGGGAGCTGTGGATGCCTGCACTCCACCTAGTGACTCCTTCCCGTGGAGATTTAGAGAGCTGCAAAGATTTCTATTAAATGACTCCTCAGGCCCTTCTGTCTCGGGATGTTAAACACACAGATTGACATTTTAATTAGAACTAGAGGAAACCTCTGAAAAGAGGCAGTTTTACAGAAATTAAAAAGGTGTATGATTTTACAGGGAAAGACATGCTTGATAACTTAAGTGCCTGCCTAAGAAGAAATAGACTCCTAATGCAATTATTCCTACCGAAAATATGTGTCCCATTTTGTAGGGTTTAAAAAGAATTCTGATGAAATGGTGGAATGATAAATTATTAAAGGAAAAAATTAAATGACAAACTTGCTTGCTAAAAATGACACAAAAACCAATCATTAAGCTCTCCCAGTCACTGTTACAAATCAATGATAATATTGGGCAGTTCTGAAGCAGGGAAAGGGACACTTTTGTTTACAAACACTGCAAATTCACTGCTGCTCAGCACTTTTGTTGAAAATAAGTTGGAGCCTAAAATTAAGCTTCCACTAGTCACCTAATGGTGTCCTTCATCACTGGTCCTGGATTAGTAATAATACTTGGTGAAATATTGGGTAAAGGACTTTTGGATATTACTGGGGAATATGCATAATGAGTATTTTTTAAGAGAGAAAACTAGTATCTATGTAAAACTTATAGAAGCTTAATGACCTTTGACACACTAATTCCATTGGGCAAGGATATATGCATATGAATAAGCCCACTCTCTGTAACACTATTGAAAAGCAAAGCCACTTTGCTTTGGCTAACAGGGGACTGGTTGAAGTATGGAATATCTATGGAATATTCTATGGAATATGTGTGTAGTCACTAAAAAATAAAACAACACATGTTCTGGTATGAAAGCATCTTTGATAAGCAAGAAGAAAGTTGTAGATCTTTGAGTTTACTAGAATTAGCCTTTTTTTGTGTTTTTTTTTAATTTAAATTAGAAACAAGCTTGTTTTACATATCAATCCCAGCTCCCTGTCCCTCCCCTAGAATTAGCTTTTTATTATAAAATGAACTATACTACGTTTATTATAAATATGTCAAAGCTGGGCGTTGGTGGTGCACGCCTTTAATCCCAGCACTCGGGAGGCAGAGGCAGGCGGGTCTCTGGGGGGTCAAGGGCAGCCAGGCTTCCAGAATGAGTGCCAGGATAGGCTCCAAAGCTACACAGAGAAACCCTGTCTCGAAAAACCAAAAGAAAAAAAAAAAAAAGAAAGAAAGAAAAATATGTCAGAAAAAATATGCACCAACGTTTATAAGTGCATCTGTGTAGTGAAGGGGTTTTATTTACTATATACTTTTTTAAAATTCTAAATGTTTCTGAATGAATTGTTTAAAATAGTTTTAGTGAACTGTAAGGTAACTAATAACTTTTAAGTGTTTTTTTTTTTGCAAATTTTCATATCTTAAAATGGTAGCCCTCTGGAACTTTAGTAATCTGAGAAAACACAACAGTCTGTTATATAAGAACGGGGTATAGGGATAATCCAACGATAGATTGATAGGTTGCTTCTATGATGGGAATTTCACTCATGGAAGTGGGAAGAAACTGCACTTCATTTCTCTGCTACTGAGATTTAAAACAAAACAACTTCGTAGTAAATCTCAATTTAGCTGTGAAGGTGAAAGGAAAAAAAAAAAAGCACTAACAAGGACCAAGAACCAAAAACCAAAGCCCAAATCATATCCACTAAAGAAAGAGAAATTGGTGTGCTAAATTATTCACTTAAGCAAAAGGGGGTCCGGTGGGGAGTGGAGCAAGACCAAAAGAAAAAGGTACTCTGTGTGGCTTTCAAAGTTTGATTTCTGATCTCTACAGTGGAACTGAAGATAATACATCAAAGTCATGTAGATACAAAGTAACTGGGATGACTTTCAACGCCCCCTTTTAAATATTCAGTGAAGGCTAGTGTGCATTTAATTCTCTTCTCTCTTTCACTGAGAATTTAGGACTTCAGATCTCCCAAGCTCCACATTCAATTCTGGAGAGCCCAAGGGTCAAAGGATACCTGAGATGCACACACCCTTTCCTTTTGGAGAGTACTCCAAAGAGCAACCGGCAAGTAAGTTTTGGAGTTTCCAACTTGGAAACCTGTCCCAAACTAAATGAAACACCTTTCAAAGCCAAACCAGGAAACGGAGCAGGGCGAACGGTATTGGCTAGGAAATAGCTGCTAATCCCAGCATTACAATCACACGTGCGACCCAGACCTGACCCAAACCCACTAGGCGGCAAGCGCAAAGCACGGAATTCCAACCCGGAAGATAGCAAAAGGAGATTTCCCAGCTGCCGGGAAGGCAGGTTTTCCCATTTTCTCCTCCCACCCAAGACAGCCTCAGCCAGGTCATCGCTGTCCGCCCCGCTTCATCTCTTTGGGTCCCTCCCGTGGCTCTCAACCTGGCACCAAGGTGGTCTCAGAGCCGACCGGCTCTTAAGGTCCGAGCGGGGGCCAAGTGCACCCCGGGCACGGGAAAAATGAAGTCAGATCGGCCGCACCCCAGGGACAGCGCACTCACCTTCAAGATCCATGGTCCCGACTCCACCGCGGACCCCTGCAGCATCCTCCCGCTGGTCCGCACCGAGACCCCGGGCCTCCGTAGCAGCCATTACCTGGACCAGCAGAAAGGGGCGAGCCGTGGGCGGAGCCGAGCGAGGACACACCAATAGGAACTCGCCTTGGGTCTCCTGCCCACCCACTGGGTGGTTTCCTAAACGCCTAAGCCGTGCCGTCTCACTCTGGACCAATAAGATGCGGCGACCCTAACTAGTTGCCCCGCCCTTAACCGCTGAAGCCTCGCCCCCTTCCGGCTCCGGGAGACCAAGAACTACAACTCCCGGCATGCTGCGTGGGCGGTGGGGAGGCAGAGCTGGATGAGCGGCTG